ATTTGTTTATTTTTTACAATTATGTGTATGCACTTGCATATTTGCGTATAGGCAGCTACGCGCCTATGTGGGTTTTTAAGAAATCATTAAACAGTCACCCAGTTAAAAGAAATTTATCATAATAAATGGTTTGTGTTAAACAATAAAGAATTCGAATTAACTTGTTTTGCATTTTGTGATAACAGCAAGACATTCAATACGGTTTGTTTAAAAGAACAAGAGACAGCATAGATTTGCGGGTGAAGGTCTTACCCTGGTACCTTGTTGACTAATTATCTTTTCAATCAATCGCAACAGATCGAAAATAAATTTTCAGTATATTTAGTGAGAAGGACGGAAGCTGGAGTTCCCCAGGGCTCTATTCTTGGACTTCAACTTTTCTTACTTGATATACAAGACCTACCAGGTGGTCTATTGGGTACCTCTAGGATATTGTCATATGATGCATGTTCGTGTCAAACACCTTTCAAAACGTGCAGAACTTAGAAAGGCTGAGCAATCACGACTTATAAATGAAGAATGGCTAAAAACGACTTGTGAAATTTAATCCCACTTACCAAGCTAAAATTATTAATATTTTTCAGCAATGAAGATAAAATATATAACTGCACTTAGTGTTGAATAATCAGCAAATCGATCCTTCTCTTGGTCACTATCATCTTAAACTTGCATTCTCAAACCCTGGGGAGTGGAAAAACCACACTGACAGTATTATACAAAAGGCTTCCAAAGAAATTGCAGTTTTTCGTAAATTAAAAGGGTTACGTATCGTGACTTCTTAGCTTAAATGTATTCTAGTATTACGTTTATACATGTAAGACCGATACCACTTTTGGAATATGCATTAGAAGCATGGAACAGCATCTCCGCAGCTGCTCTGAAAGGCCTGATAAACTTCAGCAAGAAGCTGTACATATTGTAACTGGCGTTCCTGTTTATCGTGCCTTGCAAGATTTCAAGTATTTTGTGCTGCCACGGTATATTATTCTTAAATTGAATCATTTAACTATTCTCTGTTAAATTTTAGTTCACTATAACCTTACAACTGTAAGAATAAAAAAATGTCGACCTAAGCCAGATTTAGTACTTACGAAAATATACACTGGTCACCTTAACTCACGTGAAAGGGTTACAAAATATTAGGGAGACCAATTTTTTTGTATATTTTTACCTACAAGTTTTCTGTAAAATTTAGCGTTAAAATGGTAATTAATAAGCCCAAGTACCAACAAAAATGCATTTGGTTTTTATTTCAAAGCAATGGGGAAAAAGATAAATTTTGTCTACTTAAGCCAGATTTCATGGCATTGGTCCCCTAACCCAGAAATCAGGATTATATATATATATATATATATATATATATATATATTTATTTATTTATTTATTTATTTATTTATTTATTTATTTATTTATTTTAAAAAAAAGAGTTCTCATAGCATTTATTCAGTACAAACTGTCGAAGCTCACTTACATCCGAAGCATTGAATGCGATTGTTCTTTTTGCAGAAAAAATATGAAAAATATTTATGGTGACACAAATTTATTTTTTACTGTCGGATAATAAATTTCTTTCAAATGTGACAATATCACTGACATGAGAGATAACTCTCAGAGAGTAAAGTTACTATTAATCCTTTATGAAATTGTCAAGTTAAATGCTATTTCTGTCAAATTTTGCACCGCAGAGTATGTTGAAATTGTGTGCATTTTAATTAAAAAGTATATTTCTTTTCGAAATCATTAGTGCATGTTAAAGCAGACTTTTATATGAATGACAGATGGATGACAAACCTTATCATGGTTAAAAATCTGGCATTCTAAATTCCTTTAAAAAAATGCAATTTTGTGTGCTACATTCAGTGGCCTAAATTATTCTAACAATCATATGCGGATTATTGCTGATATTTATAGTATTTATAGTATTACTTATGACAGAAAAAAAAATGCAGTCAAAACACCAAAAAATGAAATATATGTATGGACTCCTCGCACATATATGTAAACATAATTACATAAACAATTGCAAAGAAAATGTCAATCATCGCGACAGTTTAGTAAGGCATATTTTAAATTTTGCCATTTTTGTCCATTCTTTAATCTATAGTTCATTTTAGTATTCTAACGATTTTGGGTATGATAATATACAATCTAATTAAAATTAGATGTTCCGAATCCGCTACCGCTTCTCAGCATCTAATTTTAATTAGATTGGATAATATACAACTGTATATTAAACAAATTATGTCCTTTTTGTACTTTCAACAACAGGAGTTGTAAGAAAACTCTAGAAAAAGAAGGAAGCTGGACGTGTAAAAAACCAAATGCGCAATTATTCTAAAAATAAATGTATCAACAATCACACAAATGGCTATCTATTTAGGAAGAATAAATGAGATTCTATATATCGATCTGAAACTGCGTCTGTCAGAGTTTAACTAGGTCTATGGGTGATATAATTTATACGAGACTGTCCGTGTGACATTGGCCAATGGACTTTTTTAAAACCTGAAAATATCTTTATCTTTCAGTTGAATTCTTTATTCAACATTTTTGTTTAACATAGATGTACATGTACATGTTAAATACCTTAAGTTGTGCAAAACAAGCCTTGATCAAGACAATGCGGTTTTATTCGCATGATTTATTCAGATCGAAATGGTTACTACGGAAGCCGGTAGGTGCCAGGTAGAAAAATATTTTATCTGGCGGCCGCCAGATAAGTTTCTGGCGGCCGCCAAATAATTATCTGGCGGCCGCCAGAAACCTATCTGGCGGCCGCCATATAATTTTCTGGCGGCCGCCAGATAAATATTTGGCGGCCGCCAGATAACTTATCCAGATAATTTCTGGCGGCCGCCAAATAACTCTCTGGCGGCCGCCAGAAAATTATTTGGCGGCCGCCAGTTATTTATGTGGCGGCCGCCAGATAATTATTTGGCGGCCGCCAGATAAAATATTTTTTCTACCTGGCACCAACCGGCTTCCGTAGGTTACACTGTATAACTGGTATAAATATATGCGTTAGAGAAGTTTTCATTTCGCAACACTTTCACGTACATGCAAGATCTGTACAGATACATGATCATAATACACAACGTCTTTGCTTGTTCAGAGTGCACTGAACTTCAAAGAATCCTGGCAAGAAAATCTGAAAGTATACGAACTTTGTGTCATCGACGTGTGCAATATAGAGAGTATTATACAGGTCTGGGGATTATTTTTTCTTCTTTGATTAGAAGTTTTTTAATACCTAATACCACGTGCACATGTAATTACATATAGACTTCTACAAATTGTTCTAAAGACGGAGCCGATTGCATCTGTTCGAATCTTTCTACTCATTATATACGATACATGTATATATTTGGCAAAGATTTATAGCTGAAATATTTTTAAATTAGTCTTTGCAATGCCAATGTATTTTTGGTTACTTTCCTCATATACACATTACTTATTTGTCCTGAGGAGAGAATTGTATTGTTGTTCTGAAACGCATTTTTTACAAATTGTTTCCTTTGTTATTGTTTGTTTATTTATCAGTAGAGTAGTGCTTTATATACATTCATTTCGTGGCCTTGCATTAATTTTACATTTGTTTTCCTTCATTTCTTTTTTTTTAGATCTCTCTCTCTCTCTCTCTCTCTCTCTCTCTCTCTCTCTCTCTCTCTCTCTCTCTAACAACAATGCAAACGAACCTTCGATCATTCCCCCCAGTTGGGAGACAGAAGGCCAACTGTTTTGTCGAGAACTTGACATCTTGTTTGGTTTCAGTATACAGAGGATAAGGTGGATCAACATATAGTGACCTTTTCACAAGGGGGTATTTAATTCTTGATATACCTGTAAATAGATATACGCCATATATATACATGATTATTCATTTACATACTTGATCTATTTCGTATATTTATACAATTGTATACGAAGAGGTTTGGTCGTGAAAATAAATAAACTTATGCGTTATATTTATTTAGCATGTCATTATAATATTATGTCAATGATGCACAGTATTCAATTAATTAAATATGAAATTAATTTGACGTCTGAGTAAATTATTATAATAGTAAATACATATATGTAACAACCCCCATCCCTAAAATGATTCATCCAGTACAAAATATCAAAATCAAATGCAACCAATCCATCTCATCAACAAAAACTTAGGATTTTTTCTTGATACCTGGTATATGATATCGAAAATATTTATATAGTATTAACTGTTATATTGCTCATTTGTACAATTGATTTACGTCTTTTTGAGAATATTTTACACACATTGGGATGCCACGAATTGCAAGTGGAAGACTGCAAATTTAGGCCTGTAATCTGAATATATACTTATGGTCACATTGCCGATGATGAAGCAGCGAGGGATCATTTTCGTACCAGCTTCTACTACGGCACGGGGCGGGTATTTACGGTCTCATCCGAAGGACTAGTAAAAATGTGTTACATTAAAGTTTATCAAAAAACTTATTTATAATTATGGTGAGCATATTGGACCATATTAACAACTGACTATAAAGATGGTCAACTGCTAATATCTAGTCCATCCCTTATGCCATGCGTACATTTACTTCGGAGGCGCTAAATTGTGGATAGTTTCAGAGGAAACTCGAAATCTTGCTGCTACCCTTAATTAAATGATCAGCAATGCGGGCAGAAATATATCTTGATGTTAGGGATATGTGATTGTCTCTTTGGTCTCATCTTTCGTGGACAGTCTTAACATGATCTGATCAAGTTTTCCTCAGTGCAGCGACTACTGACCAATCGATATACAGTTGTTTAGTGTAAATTAAAATGACGAGCAGCCAGTTACATTTGATATAAGCACAAAGCAGCTGTCCTTAATGAATTACGAAATATTTCCTTTATTCAGTGTAATTCAATGTACAGCTTATGACATTCCCTTTACCTCGTACGAGTTACTGATGAATAAATATGTACAACTTACTATGTACCCGCCACTCCCAAAAGCGACACCTATGAGTCATTTTTCGAAGTCATTTTTCGAAATGAAAGAAGAAAAGAAATAGTATAATCTAATCTTTTTTCTTTGGTTTTGCTCGAGGATTCTTAAACCATGGGTAATATAAATGGCTATTACATATAATGTTCTTATTTCAGACATTTCTTTCATAGGTAAAACATGAATCGATGAATTTGTGCGTACTTTTCAGCTCTTATTTCGTGAGCTTGTGTACAGTGTATCATAATTTAGACACGGTGGCCTGATTTTCAACCAAATGTTGGCATTATCCTGTTATTCGCACCGCGGAGTGAATAATATTTGACGTTGTTGACGTTATGTTTTTCTACTTGCCTTTGAAAGAATATATATTTTAATAAAAGAAATTAGCCTTTATTCCGTCGTAATTTTTTCTTTGATTATCATATATTCTTAAACTCAAATTAAATGACGTTTTTTCGTATTTTAAACCTCCCTTGAAAGAATATATATTTTAAGAAATTAGCGTTTATTTCGTCGGAATTCTTTTTAACCCCGATTAAATTTCAGTATTGAGTGAAATTTTAAATGTGAGATAATATAGAGCGTTTTTTCCGTGATTTTCTTTATTTCTTTTGCGTGAGGAAATAAATTTCATCAAGTTACTCTCTATATAATGTAACGGAATAAACCCTATTTTCATTAATAATTTCATGTTCATTCATTTCTCAGGGAATAAAGTGAAATATATTATATTTTCATGCTTGTTTTATTACGGAATAAACCATAATTATCTTCATGTTTTATCTATTGTTTGTTTACACGTTAATTTAAAACTGAGGAAATTAATAATGTACTCAACTGTATAATATATTTTATGTTTATTTATACACCTGTAACTGAATAAACCATATTTTCATGCCATTTCAATTAAAATTTCTTTTAGGTAAGGAAGTCATGCGTTTGCAGAGACACAGTCCTGTATATTTTTGTGAATTTACAAAACACATTATGTCATTTGAACAGGGAATACATCTCTGTACATACATGATATCATTTCTTCGATCTTTACTGTATCTGATCTTTAAATTCAATGCCATAACAACAATTAAAGAAAAATACGCTTTCACATTTACTCCTAACAATAGGAACAATGACTAACAGATGCATGAATAGCATTCACCTATGGTCCAGTTAACACTGCTAAACAATTGAGAATGGCGTTTGTAAAAAATCTACCTCTGTTCATTCGCACCGGTGCGAATAAGTATAACTCTATTTTCATCCATAAAATGCCTTTTCATCATGAATATCCCCCCCCCCCCCCCCAAAAAAAATCCAGAGAACTTCAGCTTGAAAATGGAAATTAAGATTGTCTGTATATATATACTCCTGTTATTCGCACCGGTGCGAATAAGTATGGCCCTATGTCCTTTCATAAAATGCCAATTTTAGAGTGAATATCCCCCAAAAAACTCCAAGCCCCATTTTTTATATACTCTCCCCCAAAGAAACCCTTTTCCCGGGAAATCTTCCCTTTTCAGAGCATTTTAGCTTGAAATTGGAAAGATCGTCGGTATATATGTACTCCTGTTATTCGCACCGGTGCGAATAAGTATGGCCCTATGTCCTTTCATAAAATGCCAATTTTAGAGTGAATATCCCCCCAAAAACTCCAAGCCCCATTTTTTATATACTCTCCCCCAAAGAAACCCTTTTCCCGGGAAGTCTTCCCTTTCCAGAGCATTTTAGCTTGAAATTGGAAAGATCGTCTGTATATATATACTCCTGTTATTCGCACCAGTGCGAATAAGTATGGCCCTATGTCCTTTCATAAAATGCCAATTTTAGAGTGAATATCCCCCAAAAAACTCCAAGCCCCATTTTTTATATACTCTCCCCCAAAGAAACCCTTTTCCCGAGAAGTCTTCCCTTTCCAGAGCATTTTATCTTGAAAATGGAAAGATCGTCTGTATATATATACTCCTGTTATTCGCACCGGTGCGAATAAGTATGGCCCTATGTCCTTTCATAAAATGCCAATTTTAGAGTGAATATTCCCCCAAAAACTCCAAGCCCCATTTTTTATGTACTCTCCCCAAAAGAAACCCTTTTCCCGAGAAGTTTTCCCTTTCCAGAGCATTTTATCTTGAAAATGGAAAGATCGTCTGTATATATATACTCCTGTTATTCGCACCGGTGCGAATAAGTATGGCCCTATGTCCTTTCATAAAATGCCAATTTTAGAGTGAATATTCCCCCAAAAACTCCAAGCCCCATTTTTTATGTACTCTCCCCAAAAGAAACCCTTTTCCCGAGAAGTCTTCCCTTTCCAGAGCATTTTAGCTTGAAAATGGAAAGATCGTCGGCATATATATACTCCTGTTATTCGCACCGGTGCGAATAAGTATGGCCCTTTGTCCTTGCATAAAATGTTTATGCACACGGGCAAACTTTCAAATTTCATTTATAAATTTCTTATTTTATATTGTGAAGATAAAATATAAAACAACGCTTGAAATTTGTATGTTTATTATGTAGGCTACATATAGATTCAGTCCTGAACTCTTGATTTCCCTTTCCTGTATTTAGTAGCACCTCCACCTATAAAACTCTCAAATACTGACCTCACATCGACCAATGGTTTTCATTTGACATAACGTCAATAACGTCAAATATTATTCACCCCGCGGAGCGAATAACAGGATAATGCCCAAATGTTTAAGTCCAAGTGTAAAATCTATTCCTTGTTACCAATTTATATAGCTGCAGAACTGTAGCTCTCTGATTCAGAAAATTCGGACAGACAAAAATAAAATAGAGGGCGAGTAGTAGCAAGAGATAAGAGCTGTATTGAGTACGTTGTAGAACCCAAATTATGATTTTTTACAACGGTAAAAAGTTCAAGCTAGACGGCCAGCATTGTAAAATCCTGGTCATACTAAAATTACGCCTGCTAGAGGTAAATACACCAGCCTAGAAAATCTGTACACCTGCCCTGTTATGTATCAAATATATTCCGCACGCTTCGAGTGTTATTGCTTGTATAACATGCATTCCCCACCAAAATTATGGTATCTGTTAATTAACTATATATTTTACTCATAACTTTGGTACCTTTCAATGGTCCCAAACAACCCTAAGTGGCTTGGAATATTTGTGTGTTTTTTTTTTACATCGCATTCTGACATCATTGCCATCATGCTGTTTGAGACCATTAAAAGGTGAATAAAGTAATTAGTATCAAGATTATGATTAAATGTATGGTTAATTAAAGGATAGGCAGGGAATGCATATGATACACAAAATAGCACCCGAAGCATGCCACAAAATAGTAAGAATAATCTAACTTTGTCTCAGGACAGGCCCTCACCACAGTTAGAATGCCTCCCATGTACATGTACCCACAATGTACATGTAGCAGAAAATTCCAGAATTGTTCCAAAACGATTTTGGATAAAGTAAATGGAGTTGCATTGAAAATAGCCTCAATTAATCATAACAAACCTTTTTGAAAGACTAGTATGGATACATTTTAAACAAAAGATTTATTTAATCCATATAATGGAAGGTTTCAACACTTTCTCTCAAATATTTTAACTCATTTCAAATTTACTCATCATGTTCACGTTCCAAACTCTCTGGATATGCACCATGGAACACATTCTATCCTACAACCGGGTCCGTAGGACATTTTTCATTTTAATGATAGAACATTCTGTCTAGCCACAAAAAAGCACTGCCATGATTTTTTCAATGCTTGGATCTGTAGTTGGTGGTCTGTGTGAATTTTCTCTACCAGAGAGCTACAGTTCTGCAGCTAAACTTTATTTAATGTATAAATGTATTGTATATAAGTGCATACAATCTTGACTCTTTATTTTTCAATATAAGGTACACTTGATAAGTTGGGGAACTGGCCTTTTGCATCTCTGATGGCCACCATCATTGTTTTTGTGGGAGTTGGTGTGTTTTGTGGAACCCTGTACCGAGCATTACAGATCATCATTATCAATGTCATGGAGGGGTTGTTTCAGTTTACAGTGACATGGTAAGTGGCACCTGAAAACAAACATCACTTACTTAAAAGATTTTAATCATGTTATGATTAGAGTAAATTCATAGTTTTTCTAAGTCCAGAAATTAGATTTATAATCCTCTCTGAAGACATTTAGTAAGAAATCTTTGATGTGTTAAAAAACAATGAAAATAATCTATGTATATCCATGTCAACATTTTTTTTCCCAGACCAGTAAAGCAGACCATTTTCATTATATATTTTTAATATACAGGAGTATTCATTTTTAAACATAGTTAAGACATGTACCTTGGTAATTTGTATTTGTGATTAATGAGAAAGTGTACTTGTCTTTCTTTACTTTTAATTTCCTAAACTTCATTTAAAGGTGCTTGGACACAGATTTGAAGTTAATATTTTCTCAAATTTTCTGTATAATTTCATGACTTATATGTTGCTATAGCATTTCATACTAAAATATAATAAAAATCTTATTTCAACTCGAAGTTATTAAAACTTTGAATTTCTGGACGCGTTGGATCGACACATCCTTGCGCTTTCACATATTTTAATTTTATTCTTAATACTTAAAAAAAGTGGCAATTTTGTTGTGTATTAATGAAAAATATTAAAACTATAACCCAGAGAATTCAGAGTAGAAATGTTCGAAAGCAAAACCCACTCACAGTATTGTAAGTCCGTGCTCAGTGGTGTGTGCAGAGTTTAACAATTGAACACACCCGGTGAATGGTAAACATTAACAATAGCAGAGCTCGTGCCCAGTTTACAAAAACAGTTTACGTTTCACGGGTGTGTTCAATTTGTTAAACTCTGTACACATCACAGAGCACGGACTGACAATACTGATTTTTCTGGATTATAGATGTAATACTTTTCATTAATACATAACAAAATCACTTCATTTCTTAAATATTAAGGATAAAGTTAAAATTTGTGTAAGTGCAAAGATGTGTTAATCAAACGCGTCCCGGAATTTGTAGTTCCAATAATTTCCAGATTAAATAGGTTTTAATTATATTTTTGTGTGAAATGCTATTGCAATATATGATATTATACAGAAAATTTGAGAAAATGTTATGTTCAAATCTGTGTCTAAGCACCTTTAAGCATTTTATTTTAAAAAATATAATTATAAAGGAGATAGGTGAATGTAGCATGCAGAAAGCCTATAGCTTCAGATATATAAAAATTATGTTCAATTTGTGAATTTAGTATTTAGAGTAAAGTTCTCATTATTTAAATCTATGAAATTATGATAAACAAAACTTTTCTGAGGAAAATTTTCTCTGCAAAATTTATTCTTTTATCTAAAAAATAATGTAGTATTTGTGGGGTTCGAACCCTTGCAATAAAAATCTTGAGTATCATTTTCTTTCGAGACTAGCACGCTAACCACTAGACTACTCAAGTCCTGTTGAAGAGTGGCATTTAAATCATGTTTGTGATATGACCCTTGACTTAATGGACTTCAAGTATTTCTCGAAAAGATGCGAATGCTATGTCATAAAAGTATATTTTTAAGGTATAGTGGGTCTTTGCTCCATATTTTTGGTAATCAAAAAATGTTTATTTTTATGCAAACTTTGAGGATTAACTTTCAAAAAAGTGGAGCGAAGACCCACTCATATCGAAAAATAGTGTTATAGTATGAGGAAATGACTCTTTTTGCCCTGGCCGGCCCTTTAGTTTGTTTATAATATTTCATAGGCAAATAATTTCCATCTTTGAGGGATTTTTGCAAATTGTAGAGATTTTACATAAAGTATATTTTAATGTTAGATGAAATATCAAGGAAAATTTTGATATAATCATGTATAATTGAAATTTAATTTTTCACCTTCATGTTTGTCACACTATAGGCTTTTCACTTGTCATGTTCACCCATCTTCTCTATTAAAAGATGCTTTTATGCAAGAGAAAAAAAAAACAAACATTATGTATCGAAAGAAAAGGAAACAAATAATTTTTTGTCAAGACCTGGTTTATATTGATATACTGTGGAATCATTATTGTTCATGGGGGACCAATGTTCAAGATGTTCATGGATTTCATGTGTAACCCTTACCCGAAAAATTACATCCACATGAATGTTTATTTTGTAAACATATTGTTTCATTGAATCTACCGTATAAATGATAGGACTGGGCAATAATACCGATATTCCGGTATATTGCGGTATGTTGACCAAAAATATCAAATTGCAATACGTTTTTGAAATACCGATATACCAACAAAATGCTTGGATTTAGGAATTCTGTCATAAAATATAAAGAAAAGTTGTCAGATAGGTTTGTGATGATGCCAAACAGAAAGACAAAAGCTGTTGTATTGGTGTATTTAGTTGTTTAAGTTTAATTCAATCAACAAGATATCTTTTATTGGTTATTTATCATAGTTATGTACATTCTACATGTAAAAGGCAGTTAATATAATAAGAAAATTTCTTTTAAATTTTTGTTGAAAATTTTGCAATACATTGTACATATCGCAATACACTTAAAAATATGGCAATAAATCACAATACGAAATCTCTAGCCAATACCCAGCCCTAATAAATGAGTAAACCATGAAATTACAACCCCACAAAAGATGTTTAATATGTAATATTTTGCTTGCCTGCAAAAATTGGCCCCCACGAATTAAAATGATTCCACAGTATTTGAATTCCTTTGTTTGAATGTTCTAGGTTGTCTGTGGTACAGATTGTGTTTATTGTGATTGCTGTAGTGATGGCACTGTTCTCCATTGTCCTGTTGGTTTTTGGTTTCCTAGCAACAGGAGCAACCAGACAAAATGTGTACTCTGGGAAGAGATGCATTATGGGAGGACAAGTGTCTGCTGGATTTGTAAGTTCATCTTATTATTATGAATTATATTAAATGTACAGAGTATTTGGTAAGTAGATATATATTACATAGCTCATTAAATGTAACTTTTTATCAGTTGCAACCAAGATATGAAATTAATTTGATTACATGTACCAAACACAGGAATTGTGCTGTCGTATCACTAAAAGGAAATATTGGTTGCACAAATAAGTTCCACCCATTTTTCTATCATATATCTTTTGACTTCAAAGCATCTGTACAGCTACCCAACATCAAAGAATGAAAGATAGATGAATGATGCATTACAGCTATTGCTGCAATTGTTGAAACAGCAACGTCCAAGCAACTCTGTGTTCATGGTGTTAAAGAAACATTTTGAGAAAGGACATATTACTAATTTACTATCCTTATTCACTCTGCTATACAGACTATTTACTTTTATCGACATAAAGTAAAACATTGTACCTAAATAACAACTGATAGATTTAGTGAGAATTATTTTTATTTAACACATGTTTAAACAATATTTTATTCACAAAAGAAAATGGGACTGAGCAGCAAGCTCAGTCTATTTTAGCCTTCTCCCTAAGTGAGAATTAGAGGGGATAAAGGTTTGATTGAAATCCATCATATTACCGGTATTTAAAAGTATAATTAAAGAAATGCTGAAAAGAAAAGTAAAACATTCTTTTTCAAAATGATGCAGACAGATTTCATTTTACTTTACAGTTTATGGTGATATCATTTCTTACACTTAATGGTGATGTCATTTCTTTTCAGTTTATGATGATGTCATTCCTGTTGAGTTTAGTCTGGATCGTGATAGTTGGATTGGCTACCATTCCTGTGTTTCTGTACATCATGCTGGGTTCCATCTGTAACCAGGAAGTGTACAACAACAACTACCAAACTGTCAATTACTGCTTTGAACTCAAGCATTATGGTCAGTTCTTAATGTTAATTACTGCTTCAAACTCAAACATTTTGTCCAGTTCTTAATGACAATGACTGCTTCAAACTCAAAAATTATGGCCAGTTCTTAATGACAATGACTGCTTCAAACTCAAACATTTTGGCCAGTTCTTAATGACAATGACTGCTTCAAACTCAAAAATTATGGCCAGTTCTTAATGACAATGACTGCTTCAAACTCAAACATTTTGGCCAGTTCTTAATGACAATGACTGCTTCAAACTCAAACATTTTGGCCAGTTCTTAATGACAATGACTGCTTCAAACTCAAACATTTTGGTCAGTTCTTAATGTCACTTGCTGCTTCAAATTCAAACTTCAATCATGAATTTCTTTGATAATTTTATACAGTACAGCTCGCGAGTAATTGCCACCACACCATGGTAGGCAGGGATTAAGGCTGAAGATGACATGCATGTACACACATAATATAGATATGTTTGTTTCCTATGTAGCTTATAGGATGCGTTATGATTTGGTACTGTGCAGGGTTGTCGTAAAATTTGAAAAAGCAGGGGACATTAAAAAAGTAGAAGGGGGTCTGGGGTTCCTCTCCTAAGAGGGGGTTGAGTAGGCCTTTCAACTGCCGCTAGGGTTCGATGAAAAGAACGATAACCCATTACCGGATCTTGTTTACAACGAGTCCGAGGAAGCTAACTGTTTCTAAGCATGTCAAGTTTTAGCATTTTTCAATTGTTTCTTCACTGTCAGCGGAATCCAGTAGTTCGAAAATTTAGCACAAATGTTTAACTTATTTATCATGTAGTTACCGACAATGCACAATAACATATAAGTGAAATTTTTAATAAAAATATAAAGTGAAATCAACCCCCCTTCTAAATTTTCACCTGATTAAATTTTTATAATTGATCGTTCTTCTTCGTGCTTAGTAAAATGAATAAGATAATTTTTTTATGCATTTAATAGTAGAAATCTATATCTTTATAGATGAAGCACAACAATGCACACGTAAAATACATGGCATTAAATTTTCTTCTACATACCAACTGTCAGAGAGAGTTAAAAATCTTGAAAATAGTCCTTTCCCTGTTCATTTGATCCCGTTATTTCATGGAGAGTGAAGACATTCCCTTGTTTTGGTCAACCCTCTTGTGTACCGAAGAATATAAGGAAAGCTATTGTGTACATAACAATACCAACTGAAGCAGCCTATATGTCATTCCTATAAACGATAACTCATAAATCGGCACTTTGTTGGTCGTTTTTTACACTTGAGTTACCTGTCCTTAAAACACAACATCGTACAAATCAAATATTAATAATTAATTTTTTGGGATTTAATGAAATGTATGTATAGTGTACTATCTTTTTTTGAGAATTTCACGTACATACAGATCCATCTATAAAATGGTATTTACCATATGTGCAACTTGAAAAATTAGTTGAAAGGCCTAGGTTGAGGGGGAATACCAGAGAAACCAGGGGATAACATCATAATAGGCAGGGAAATTCCCCAACCCTCAGGTCATAGGGACAACCCTTACTGTGGAATCATATTCTGTACACCCTGAGGCTAAAGGCCAGAGGTTGTATGGAATGGAATCAGGGTACATACTGTAAATCCCTGTACACAATTCATTGAGTCTGGATAAGTAATAAATCCTACATGTAAACCTGGCATAATGATTGAAATACTGGTTTTAGAGTTTCATAAAGTTTCTGAATATTTTTAACGATTTTCATTTTTTCTCCTCTAGGTATCTACAGGAATTCCACATATCCATTTCTGGGTGTTGCTCCCCCAGGGAGGGATGCAATCTGTAACCCCGTAGAGCTGAGGGTCTTATGTGATAGGGTCAGTATACGTGTAGATGTAACTTAAGATAAAATGTGTATGTAAAGTCTATGTATCATGTCATCTTACATCAAAGCATCACCTCAACCTTTTGAGATATTTTTTTTACAGTTTCTCAGAAAACATAAAAATAAAATTAATATGAATGCTAGCAAAGACATAAATAACAAAAGCTTTGCAATTAATAAAAATCTCACTACATGTCAAGGGTCTTATTGTTTAGTAAATTTCAATTCTCCATTTTATCTTTAAAATTATCAAAGGTAATGAAATAATTCTTTTAAATCTTATAAGTAAGATGTACACATGTACACATTGGAGAATTAACACTGACAAAAATCATCTGAGAATCATAAGTCCAGTGTTACATGTATCCCCTTGCATTTTATTTTTTATGCCCCGCCATGAATATGGCCGGGGCATATAGTGTTTGTCATGTCCGTCTTCCGTCCTTCCGTCCTTCCGTCCTTCTGTCCTTCCGTCTGTCCTTCCGTCACACTTTGCGTTTAGCTCTGTTCAAAGCTCAGTTTCAAAGAAACTATCCAAGATATTTTTATCAAACTTCATATGCTGATAGATATTGATGAGGGCTATGCAACTGCATCAACATTTTTTGACCTTGACCTTTCCTTTGACCTTGACCTCACTTTTCTTAAATTAGTGTTTAGCTCAGTTTTAAAGATACCATTCAAGATAGTGTAATCAAACTTCATATGCTGATACATACTGATGTAAGCTATTCAATTGCATCAACATTTTTTTGACCTTGACCTTTATTTTGACCTTGACCTCACTTTTCTTAAATTAATGTTTAGCTCTGTTTTAATGAAACCATTCAAGATATTTTTAACAAACTTCATATGCTGATACATACTGATGAGAGCTATTCAACTGCATCAACATTTTTTGACCTTGACCTTTCCCTTGACCTTGACCTCACTTTTCTTAAATTAGTGTCAAACTTCATATGCTGATACATACTGATGAGAGCTATTCAACTGCATCAATATTTTTTGACCTTGACCTTTCCTTTGACCTTGACCTCACTTTTCTTAAATTAGTGTTTAGCTCAGTTTTAAAGAAACCATTCATAATATTTTCATCAAACTTCATATGCTAATACATACTGATGTAACCTTTTCAACTGCATCAACATTTTTTGACCTTGACCTTTCCTTTGACCTTGACCTCACTTTTCTTAAATTAGTGTCAAACTTCATATGCTGATACATACTGATGAGAGCTATTCAACTGCATCAATATTTTTTGACCTTGACCTTTCCTTTGACCTTGACCTCACTTTTCTTAAATTAGTGTTTAGCTAAGTTTTAAAGAAACCATTCATAATATTTTCATCAAACTTCATATGTTAATACATACTGATGTAACCTTTTCAACTACATCAACATTTTTTGATCTTGACCTTTCCTTTGATCTTGACCTCACTTTTCTTAAATTAGTTTCTGAATCAAACGTCATATGCTGATACATACTGATGTAAGCTATTCAACTGCAGCAATATTTTTTGACCTTGACCTTTCCTTTGACCTTGACCTCACTTTTCTCAATTTGTGTTAAAATGTTGCATTACTAATATACCCTTGGCGGGGCATTCATGTCCTATGGACATATTTCTAGTTTATAAGTTAACCATATATTTTAAAGACAAAATTTTGCCCAATAGATATTAGTTATTCATGTTTTACAGTGTAAGAAAAAAGCAGGTTAAATGCACAATTGTTTTTACCAGTTGATTAGTAATGGTACCAGATTTTAGGCTTCCAGTTTTTGCAATTTAAAAATATTTTAAGTCAAATTAAGAATACATTTTATAATAAAAAATTACGACGGTTTTTGGAAAAATGTCAGCCATTCAGTTTTGACAAAAAGCGCAGACTTGCAAGATCTTGATTACTCCTTGTAATCTACATAGTAGATAATCTCATAATTCCAAAATAAATTAAAATTAAAAAAAAAAATTGACCTGTCTTACATTTGTTGTGTGTTTTCAGTTTGCTGAAGCAGGTCCTCTGTTTTGCACAGCCTTAGCTGGGGCAGCATGTATCATCAGTGGTATGGTATGTACTCAAAATTATATTTTATGCATGTTCATACATTAGATTTCATTGTCAAAGAGGCTTAGTACAATTCTCTTTTCTGCTTGAACTTTTAGTAAGGCGTGACATTCTCGGCGATACATAATTAGCGTCTCTCAAATGGTGACCTTGATTCTCATTGGTTAAGAAATTAATAACATTAGCAACTTAAGATTGTTGTTAACAAACGATGAGATGACATAAGCCACACCTCTTTACTGTAAGAAACGATGTAATTGGTTCCTTGCGTCACTTGTTGACGTCTGATCCATTTTTATACCATGTGTATTTCACCCATGAATGGAAAGCTGTGTAAATTTCAGTATTGACGAGCTAATCAGGCAACCAATGATAATCTAGGTCACTATTTGAGAGACACTAATTACGTATAGCCGAGAATGTCACGCCTTACTGAAAGTTCAAGCAGAAAAGAGGATTGTACTGTGTGGAATTTAAATCAACAACAACAGGGCAACAAAGTATAAAAGACTAACATTTCATTATACCGCCTGCAAAAAAGTTATATGTTATTCTGGATTCACCATCTTATCCATCTGTCTGTCTGCCAAGATGAAAATTTCATCATACATTCAGATGATCCTGTAATGGAGTTGTAAGATGGTTATACTGGAATTATTGTTTCCATTTGTCTGTCTGTCCTTGCTTATGTACATGGGTATGCTCAGTATTTAGATCACTTTTCAGCATCTCAAGGGGAATCCAAACCAACATCGCAGAAGTGGTGATTCTGTTGATGCCAAATGAGATTTATACTTTTATAATTCCCTTCTGGGAATAATCAGTTTCATTTAGGACAGATACAGGTATTTCAAATGAAAAATCAGTGGTTTTATCATCCTTTCATATACATTTTTCTTTATTTGGTAGATATTATTCATGTCCATCCTATCAGCCAACTACACCAGAATCAAAATCTCCAAGGAGCTGACAGATTATCGCAATGCTGTAGATATGGAGGAGATAGACCTACATAGCAATGGAAAGGGGATTCTGGATCAGACCTATGACAAGAGCAGCTACCGGTGATCTGATTCACGGAAATGTTTAAAGATGAGGCATATATCCTCTTCACATGAGAAAATCCACACTGTTGAAATCTTTGTCCATATTCTTTGTCCATTCCAACAGATTCCGAACATTTTATGAATGACTGGATGTACTCTTGTCTTAGCAATTGTCATACTTTTTAAAAATTGTAGATAAAAATAGTAGTACTTTTTTGTATATGTACCATCACAATGGTAACGATCATTTAATACATTTGAGCATATAAACATACATGTGACTCCATTGTGTTATTTATGAATCGGTCTTTTTATCTGCAAACTTATCTTTTGTATATTGTATGGTTGTGAAATGGTGTTTTTTTTATATATAATATGTACTTTTTGTTGAGTATAAAAATGTGATAAGCATTACCTAAGGGTTATGTGCAGTAAACTTTTAAAAAATATTTTACAAATATTATCATTTATCTGTGAAAATATATTTTTATGCATTAGCATTCCCAATATTTTTCTTTTTGATGCAGCCTAAATTTTCCACTTGTGAAATAAGTTTTTTTTTTTTGGAAACATGCCTGATTCTGATGAACCAGAAGTACATGTAAATCACGCCTTACAAGGGAAATAACTCCCTTAGCACATTCCATTGTTTATGTATTGCTACTTGTATATATACCTTCAATTTTTATTGTATTTTGTATGTATCATATCATATTGAATTCATTTTTTATATTTTTTGCCATATATTTTGACATCAACTCTTTATCTTTAGTCTAACCTGACCATATCTTTCATATACATGTGCTTCTTGAGTTTTTAGTGCATGTGTAATAGTATTTTTTAATTACTATGTTCAATAAAAAGTAATATAAATATATACATATATTTTGAATATAAAGGTTGTTTTATAGACAGATTATTTATTCTACATAAAGTAATTTTATGACATATAAAAATTACCTCTTTTTATGAATATTATCAGGTCTTTTGCCAAGAAAATCAAGAACACATATCATTAATGAAAGAGACATTAAAAATGTCTGATGTTGTACATATTTATATTAAGTATTGTCTTTGTAATATCTGCTCTGCGGAATCCATAAGAATCTTTTATTTTAATTGAGGAAATAATGATTTCAGGTATTTCAAATTTATCGAATGCCTCAATGCTCTATGATTTGACGGTATATTTTTAATTAAATTCGCATTGTATGTGTACTAAGTGCATTATGTATGTAATAAAAACAATCTTAAAGTATAAGTTTTCATCCTCTGTCATATGTAAGAGAAATTATCACTTTAAGGGAACAATATGATGAGGCTTATGGAATCATGTATCATGGTGTTACATAATATGTAGTTTCAAATAGCAATATTCACCAAAATAAATTTCATTTCTGAAGATTGTCCGGAAAACATTTTTGATTAATTTTGTTTTCAATAGTTTTAAGTCGATTAACTTTTTAAACATATTTTCACCATTGTCATATATTAAATGTGGCCTGCTTGTAAACAGTGTCTAAATTATAATTTATACTAAAGTAAGGCATTTGGATGACAGTGTTTACTAATATTTTATTGTAAGGTGCGAAGCTTGCGTGATATTTAACCTAAAAACCTGTAAATACTACGTATTGTTAAAAAATAAATAAATGAATAGATAGAAGGCGCAAAAACTGTGTAGAACTGCTACATCAAATAATCACCGGCTAGAACGCTACATTCGGGATGCCGCTCACCACGTGAGACGCAGAAACCGCCATCCGGGGTGTCACATCGAGTTTGAAGCCTAATTGACTTAATTACTAAAATATATTGACCTACAAGGTACCAATGAAGCTAAATTCTATTGCAATATTGCTATACCATTTAAGGTATTAGGAAAGACACCTTCTGAGGGTCAATTTTGATACAGAATTTTACGTCCAAAGTCTAAACTTCTGAAAAGTGAGGAGGAGTGTCTGAGAAAACTGAACTCTTTTATGTGTCGTTCATAGTTGTATACTCACCTTGTTTATCTTTTCTCCGCTTCGGGGCCGCCACCCCGAATGTAGTAATTTATCCGGTGATAATGCAGTTGGACAACTACTGCAAGTTAAGGAGGGAATATTTTTACTTTCTTAAGGAAAACTTGCATTTACTAGACGACTACATGAACTAAATTCATAGTTCATAGTCTAAAATTGAAGAGACTTGCAGTGTTCATTTGGGTGACCATTGAGAGAAATTTATATTTTACGTTACAATTATATGAATGCATGGAGTGACGTAGGAAAGCCCAAAAATGTTATTCCTAAAAATCTCCTTTGAAGTTTACTTTTTTTGCTTTTATTTTTTATACACATGTAGGTGGGCCACCACGTACAATCACATCCTGATGCAAATGGTTATATATAGCCATCAATGACGTTTTCCGAAGGAATACCCAAAAACTTAATCGAAAAAAGACTATAGTTTCTATTTAATAGAAATCTTAGTCTTTTTTTCGATTAAGGTTATGAAAGCTGCCATACGGATGTAAATTTGAATTCATTGCTTTCACCGCAGTCTTCCTAGAACAATGTTTAATGGAAAATACGTATTCCAAGAGTTTCACCATTCAAATAGCTATTATAAATAGAAATCTATCAAAATTCAACATATTGCTTCAAACAGCTGAAATTTCACACTTTACATTGTATTTCTGTCTGTTCTTGTCGGACGTCGTTCATAGTTTGTAAACATTTTTAAGTTTCTTCTCTGGAAAGACTACACCATTTTCAACTAATTTTGCTTTATGGCATCCTCTATTGGAAAAGGGAAACAAAAATTTTGAATGTCATGATCTCTACCTCACTGGCGCCTGAGGATGTGGTAGTTAATCATATGTTGAAAAATACTTTATATTTTTAAAATCTTCTTTACTTATGGAAACCTGGCAGACAAACTGTTGGTATGTTTATAACAGTTTTCAACCTTTTTGCCGAAAATGAATAGTGAAATATGTGCCCTAGGGTGGGTCTTAATTTGCCATATATTTGAAAACCTTCCTTTAAAATCTTTACTCTTCGGCATTTAGCAAGCAAAGTTTTATATGATATCTAATAAGCATAGGAAGAAATTAAACATTTCAGTCACTGATTGGAAGAGTGCATTTCTGTGATATCTCAGTTATTCATTCACAGTCAGCCACATTTCGGTTGCATCCATGGACACATTTAACTTATCATTCAGTGAAATTTTCCTGGCATGTATTTATTCACTTTCATGCTTATTTTTTATTGTGAAAATAGTTACATATATGACAGTGACTATAAAACTACATGTAAGAAAACAGAAAAAAATATATTAATCGGGTAAAATTAAGCAGCTTATTAAAAAGAAACAACCGAAAGATAAGTAAAAGCTTAAGGTGCTGAAACGTATCTGCCATTCAGTTGACGTAAAGGTCACTGAAATGTCATTGACGGCTCATTTCAAATTGTTAAATTCATGGTCCCCTGGCCCATGGTTCAAACCCAGAGTGGGCCCAAGTTGGTAATATTTTGAAAAATACACCACAACTGTGCAAATCTTCTTCTTTACCCATGAAGACGTACATATAGCAGTCAAACTCTTTGTATGATTACAATTGGACTTAAGTACCTCGTTCGAAAATTAGAATTGATGCCTCCTTGGTCCAACAGTCTTGTCACAGGGAAGGGCTAAGTTGGTCAAAGATGTATTTTGAAAATTTATTACACTTCTGAAGTTTTTCTTATTTACTCCTGGATATCTGGAGGACAAACTGTTTTCAGGATCATAATTATCACCTATAGTTATCTACCTAAATAGTAAAATTCAAGGACACTGGCCCATGGTTCAGGGCCCAGTGTGGGCCTAAGTTGGTTTATTGATAAATAGTCTTCTACTAAAGAAGACTAGTTTATCGTCAATGTGTAACAGGCATTGCACTGTTTGCACAGTAATAGTGAGAATTTATGAGCCTTTCACAAAATTCCTTGGTCCAGGATTCAGACCCTAGGATGTGGCTTCGTTGATCTTTAATTGAAAATACATTAAATTTTAAAAACATTTTTACTCATGGACATCTGGCAGACAAACTTTTTACATGATTTTAGTAACTTATCCTGTGCTAAATTTTTTTTTTAAACTTTTCGACCCTGTCCCATTGTTCAGGCTCCAGGGTGTGGCAAAGTTCGTCATATATTGAAAACTGAATAATTACATCTTTGAAAATCTACATTAAACAGGGATATATAGAAGATAAATGTTTGTCATATTAAGCAGTTAGCCTTCCTCTACAAAAAATATAAAATCCTGGAATCAGGGGCCTCAGGGAGGGACTTTTAGTTGGTCATATATTGAAATTTATTTTACAGTGTATCCTATCAATTCTAATCCTGAACTTCTAGGGTAAAATCTGCATAAATATGATGATGATAATTTAGTTATCACCAAACTGTAATTTTTTTGTCATACATGTAGCAGTCCAGAGCAGTTCCAGGTGGACGGTCAAAAGTTGTCACACACTGTAAAACTCCTGAAAATCAGGTGACCATCAAGGCCCATGGGCCTTTTGTTATAGATATTTATTTGTTTTCGGTCTTTGCATCGTTCAAACTGTACTTCAAAAATTTCAATGAACACTCTTCTTTGCAGGTACATGTACATGTATTATGAAAGAATGCTTTTTACTGTTTACTTTTGACTGTGCTCTTGCTTAAGGAAGCTCTAAAATCTGCTCACTGAAGTTCTTTTTATGCAGTTAGAGTGATACTAGTATGCCCTCTGTTATAAAATAGAATAAACGGAAATCTACAGCAAATGAAACAATTGAAATGAATTATTCATAACATTAATTTAGACAAAGATAGAGTAATTAAAACATTATTTGCATTATTTCCCCTATGCAAGATATCAACAGTGACATCCCTTCACTAATACAACTTTTTCCTGCAGAACTATGGCAGAAGTCCTAGATGGAATATTAACAATATAAAATAATTGCCCAAAGAACATCTTTCACTAGACAGTTTAAGCTTCCTTGAGAGACTGGCTTTGCATAGAAAAACAATTCTCAGAAAAATGCAAAGAAAACAAATCAAATGGAGAAAATTAATAATTTAATGAAGTTAATATGTGTTACTGAACTGGAATATGATAATAATGATATCGATAATGAAGGTATTATGTAGACGTTATTTACTTATTTCGTAAATTTCCATTCATTCAACATTAAGTTAAAGGTCTGATAGCACAGTAATTTTTGCATTATCTAAATAAACAATCTTAAGATCTAACCTATATTGTTCTATAGTTTTAGTTTCATTACTTTTTACACACGACAGAGTAAATGAGTATAAAACATACATGTATTCTATATAATTAAAACATCAAGACATTAGACTAGAATGAACATGAAATAGGAAATTTTTGGACACGCAAGCTTCAATTAATGTATATTTTTTTAGAGAAAAAAATAGCACATTCTTACATCTGTCATTCTCACAACCATGTATCTATGAGTCAACTCTTTACTGTTGAACCCCTGACAAATTTTAATCGATATTCTATTGGTTTGCTTTTCTCATTGAGAAGCACAAATAGAGGCTTTCATAAGTTGATATAAAAGGTAAATAGAAAGTAAGTAGTGGACACCTCACATTGCACGTGTTGTTTGTTACCGAAAGGTTTAATGTGATTGGTCGAGAGATAAGAAAAACAATCAAGATTTGTTATTTCTCCGAAAGACGTCGCTGCAGTCAGCTCGTAGAATAAATTAAGAATGAAATTTGTCAGGGGTCCAACGGCAACGAGTCAACTCAGGTCCCCCATGACGTTGTGAGGATGTACATCTATAAAAATTATGTTATTGAATATATTTTTTATTTTGTAGATGAAAGAGTTTTTCTAAAACCAAACCAATTCTAACACAAATAAGCAAGAGTAAATTTTTTATCTCCTCTTAATGCGAAAAGATCAAATGTTGCCATTCGCCTATACCTCAAGTTTTCCATTTTCAATCGCCAAATTGTTCCTTAACTTGATATTATTGGCTTTTTCTTGAATTTCAGCTAGAAAACTCTTCGACCAGCTTTTGTCAATGGTAGTGAAGGGGCTGTCGAAGTTCATCAACTTTACTCCGTGTGGACTAGTTGTGCCGAGTTTGCGTTCTGTTAATACCATATCATCATTGAAATGAACATGGTTCTCTCTGTCGCGTCTTTTCAACGGTTTGCTGTAAAGGTCTTCAATTGATTGTTGGGTATTCTGTTCAAAATGTCTCTGATGAAGGCTGTGTTTGGAATAGATGTCGTCTGCTGTCTGATAATGTGTGTGAAGCGCACGTAAATTGTTGACATTTTTCCAAGAGGGAATGCCGTCGCTAAACGAGCGAGTGAAAAACTCAGTCGGATGGTCGTATCCATAATTATCCCAGTTCGATTCCATCTGGGAAAATCTGTTGGTGGTTGGAGTTAATTTGTTGGAAAGAGACACGTCGGTTAAAGACGTATCCGTCTACAAAATAGAGGTAAATTTTGCAGTTCCGCCAATTTCCGAGGTGCAATTGAAAATCTACTTTTAGTCTAGTTCTATGCTACTTTGCTGAATGAATATACTTCAGAGAACACCCTTACGTGTATGAATACATTTTTTTTGAGACAGCTTGGAACATACAATTTCCTAAAAAAGACAGAGAAGGCAGAAGGAAACCTACCGAAGATGATTTTCTGTTGTCTATCAATCTGTCTCTTTTGTTAGATTTGCCAAGAGAAGCTGACAAACTAGATCTGCTCTTCCGTTGCGATCTGCGCTCAAAAGCAGTCTTCACCTACATTTACGTTATGATTACAGGTGTGTAGAAGAAATGAAACAATGTATAGTCTAAAAATGTTAATGACTCAAATTAAGAGGCATAAAACACGATATTCCTTGCATTTATAGTTTTCAAAATAAAAACATGAATCGAAAAATATTTAGATGTACTGAATGTATTCAACTTGTATCAAAATTTTCAAAAATTAAAGATGACAAAAATTTATTACAGTGTATGCCCATTTTAGAACATCAGTCAAATTTCAGTTGTGAAATCTGAGCCTTCAATTATTATGTCAGGAACTTACATGTATATGTTAATCGTATTTATCACAAATATTGAAAAACAGCATGTCATATTTCATTGCTAAGATTTGAGACCTTGAATACTTTAGATGTAAATTATGTATTTTCTAAAAATCTTAATATCAACAGTAATTAAGAATTACTTACATCAGTACTCATCAGGCAATGGAACAGGAAAAAGAAAACACCCTAAAACAATATGAATATTTTCAAGAGTCAGAACTTAATTCAAGTAAAAGTTGGGTATATAGAAATGTGCAAAGAAACGCCCAGAGAGAGAGAGAGAGAGAGAGAACAAAACACAAATTTGTACCTGAAGAGAGTTGAGGAATGTGAAAAGATATGTAAAGACAAGTGTGTCCTTGGAGTCAATAGAAAAAAATCCCAATGTCCAAGTCAGGCCGAGAATAGGAAGTAAGACAGCAGCTGCCTTAAGACCAGTTCTGTAAAAAGACAAGGTCTAGATAAATCTTTTAAACGTAATATTTTCTCAAAAAAGAAAACAAAATATGTGTCTAAATTCCTTAAAACATGATATGAAAAAGGATGTCCTTTTTTTTTATAAACGAAAATTAACTTTCCTCCCTCTGTATTCTGGTTAAATAAGATGGGATTTATGTTTACCTAACGCCAGATCGTTCGTCCGTTCCAATTTTGGCAGACACCGAAATCGAACGCATCATAGTCCTCAACACAACGAATAAGACGATCGTGTTCAGCTTATAATGAGAAAAAAAAATATGTGACGAAAAAGAATAATCAACATATTTCATATAGGTCAATAATATTAGAAAAATTAACTTTAAATTAAAGAATTTGGTTACCAAAATTAAAAGTCCCACGGCTGGCACAAACGCCACAAGCAAAACTTTTCGTGTTAACCAGCATCTGTAAAGATACAAAGTTAATTTTACTACGATTCATTCATCATCGGATGAATTTCAGCGAAATTAATTCATATGTACAATTTTTGGCACTTTTCGGCCTACACTCACACTGTTTTGGAGCCGTACTCATCATGAAATATCCCAGCCGATATCCCTACTATCACCACAGGTAAACCTGTGTTTAAAAAGGTGTATTAAAGATTATTTATGTCAGTAAATGTAAATATCACATCAAGCCAGGGCTACAAAAGCTTTCTGGAGCAATAATTATAGACTGTATTATACATACCCCAACCAAACGCTAGGTATTTTTTGAAATTCCTGTTTGTTTTAAAGACTTGCACGAGCATAACATAGAGATGGAAACCCTCGATCAACATCCAGCAAAACATACTCAGAAGAAAATAATGTAGTAATATAGCCATCGACATACAGGCATACTGGAAGAAAATAGTGTAGTAATATAGCCATGGACATACAGGCATACTGGAAGAAATTTTAAAACTTCATCAAAAAGGTCGTACAAGAATGGATGAGTATAAAGCGCATTATTATATAATTATAATATAATTATAAGCTTAACGATTCCAAAGCACTCATTCATCTAGTATGAATGAAATAGTTATTGTTTTTAAAAGCAATCTATCTAAATGGCTCGTACCTTATTCTCTGTGCGATCTATCCCTATTAGGTATATTATTTGAACCATTATAATACTGATTGCAAGTTGTTCATGAATCTTGATTCTCTCTTTCTTCAGTCTTGAATCAAATAAAAAGATGATAAAATGAAAGGTATTATTCACTGGTACTGGAATTTATATATCACTTATTCGGAAAGATGATATCAGTCAGTATACATAGGTTAAGTGAATGTGAGAGTTTACCTGAAAAATTCAAAAATGACAACAGTGATGAGACATCCAGTTATAGACAGACCACATCCTATATACGTCATGATTGTCAGAATCATAGAATTGTCATGGTCAATCTTACTCTGAAACAAGATGAGTAAATGTATATACCAGAAGTTCAAAACTTCTGCTCAATATATAGTGGAAAATAGTACTGTTGTCCCTTTTAATATCTTCTCTTGCTTAATTACTTAATTTCGTTAAAGTTTGATATATCCATGTCATTACTGGAATGCATACTTGCAAAATAGTAAATTGAAGAGTCAACAAGTTAAATCTCGGTGATATGTTAGGAAAAGCAACCACTATTTCTAGATGCGTTTTCTAATGTCTTAAAATCAGTTTAAGTCATACCTGTACTTCAAAAACATCCATTAGGATAGCGAAGTTAGTCAAATGTGAACAAACACAAACTGCATGGGTTAGATTGCTTTGTAGGGGATCCAAATGGCACCCTTCTGGTGACCAACGATTTTCTATGGAACTAAACAAGATATTAATTATTGTGTGTATTCTTATACCCAGTATATAAGCATACACTATTGATCTTCCCTCTGATTTTGGTATTTTATCTTATACTCATTCTCTGATTCTCTCTATGACTATAGACTTCACAATAAAGAGATTTACTAGAGTACAAGATGGCAAGTAAATGATACTTGTTATATGTAACCTTAAAGCAACAGTTCATACGCCCCCTTATTACTCATGATGAATTTGATTTATTCATTGCCTTAGACGTTCAAAATAGGAAAATGTTTTTTTAATGTTTTTAAGTCAGAGATAATGAACTAATTAGAGATCATACCCATCTGTCATGTTGAGGGCAACACAGGTTCTCTGGTAAGAAGAGTTCCATGTCGTATTCTAAGAACATATAATAATATGTTATGTTTTTTTTTTTTTTTGCTAAATGGAATATATATTTGAACTTATTGTACATATTTATATGATATTCACAGCTTAAAAGACTCCAAATACAAAATTAAAAAGCTTACATCTACACGAAAGACAATGGTAATAGGGTGCCTGAGATCTCGATAAGCAGACTCTGGAGTGTTCAACACTCGGGCCGAAACGATGTCGGAATTAATAAACTGACTTTGTCTGGAAATATTTGGATATCTGCAATATCAGAAAGAAGACATTTAACAAAATACAATCTCCCACATTCTTTAAAAAAATATACCTGAATAAGAATGCTAAAAAGTTACAATCTGTAAAGCATTACAAAATGCACTCTATTAAGGACCCTCTCTATACTAAATAAAAAGTTTTTTGGACATTGCGAAAATTATATGTGTAAATATTGAGCTTATTTATATTTTCAACATAGGGTGCCTTGCTTTTACTTCCAGGAAAAATGTTCAAAGTCAACAAAGTTTTGATGAACAGAAATGACTGTTGTTTAATTAAGTGGGGGAAAACATGCAGATGAATTGTTCAGTTCATTTATCTTGGCCTAACAAAATGTTAAGAATGCTTGAATTGATTAGAAATTGATTGATAAACTGTAGATTTCAATTTATTTTAAAATAGATCTATGGACAGATTAACTACATAAAAATTCAACAGAATCGGAACTCTTTAGTGTGCAGTGCATAGAGGGTTCTTAAGGAAGATGTTCTTCAAATTTCATGACAACGCGCACCGTCACTGTAGCTCAGTCGGTAGAGCGCTCGCTCCGTGATCTGAAGGTCCTGTGTTCGAATCACGGCAGCGACTGACCTAAGTCGATAAAAAAAAAATATGTAGCAACTGTTCCTTCGCCAAGTGCTCGGCACTTTGAAGTGAAAGTTGCGGGTCCTTCGGATGATACCTTAGAAACCGAGGCCCCGTGTCATGGTGGACGTTGGCACGATAAAGAACGCTCACTGCTCAATGGCCCTAAGTGCCGAGTAAAGGTCTAAATTTGAAGCCCTTAATTCACCGGTATATGGTGACGTCTCTATATGAGTGAATAATTCTCGAATGGGACGTTTAACAACATACAATCAATCATGTCAACACGGTCAAAGTAACATACAGTATAGCAGCATTGCTACCTACATGTAGTTGTATTTCGTTTCTTCCTCTGCAGCAGAAGACAATATATTTGGAATAGTTGGAAATCGTCCAGTGTAAATCTGTATATATTTATCTACAAAAGGATATTTAATCATATATTACTATGTATAGTAAACGTTTTGCGTAGTAATATACTGTGATGATCTGAAACAATAAGCTGTACCTTTTGTAGAACCAATAGCCGCTTTGAATACAGATGACGTCAGAATGAATCCGTCTGACTTGGCAGGACCGACGCTTAAATCTACTGTGTCATCACAAACAGCAACTCTCTCGTGAAATGATATTTCAAAATCTGTGAAAAAAAATCAGAACTCCTTAGAAAATCTCCTTACCAAAATTTATAGACTAAGTGTGCATTGTGAATACTATCAAATTTCAAAACTTTCATAAAACAAAACAATGGATACACTTTGTAGCTAATGAGAATATTTATACTGATTAATATTGGCATATTTGCTAAACAAAATTAATTAAGGATAATAAAAGTCTCTCTCTCTCTCTCTCTCTCTCTCTCTCTCTCTCTCTCTCTCTCTCTCTCTCTCTCTCTCTCTCAGCCATACCTATATTTTCATGTGAAACATTTATGCGATCATTGAGTGAGTAGTTATTGGCAGAACGGTATAATCGTTTCTTCATCATTGAGATTTTCTTTCTTGCGATGTGCGAAGACATAATCTCAACTGAATTTAGAATATTGAGAAATTTTCTTTCAACGGTGGACTGAAAAATGAAGATGATATAAAGTGTTTTAACAGGTTTTGGAATATTTATAAACATACAATATCAAAATTTGAATAAAATTAATTTTATAGGAATTTGAAAATCTTACGAATGCCAATATTTTCCAAGTGTTTGTTGTTTCTGGATCAACGATTTCATTTACAGCCTTTCCATAGCCCTATAACAAATAAACTATAAAATTTTAAAAATTAGTTTTATGAAGCTAAATTTTACAAAAAGGGGGGTCTAGAATACTTTAGATTACTAGTACTTTATTTTGTATTCGAATTGTGTAGCTGCATCTTTATATGACTACTTGATTACCATTGCAATTTCTAACAAGGAATACTCGTGTACGGATGCATTTGCTGTTACATCTGAAATAGTCACAACGGTTCGAGTTGCCTCTGTTAGATCACCAGGATAAAGGGATGTGTTCGATTTCCTTTTGGCGATGACGTCAGCAAGACTTGATGTGACGTTCAGAATTGACGATGAAGATACTACACTTTTATTTCTGAGTGACTCTGCCTAAAGAAGGGTTGAAATTTAATTAAGTTGTTTCTCATTTATATTTGATATCATAAATATTGTTCCTAATTTATCTCTATAATTAATTTTTAATTCTTAAAGAAGTCTTTGCACTCAAAATCTGAATATCTACAATAAATAAGAAAGTACATTAAAGGCACTGAATACCCATTTGCGATCAAAGATTATGTAAAATATCACCGTTCAAGAGAGACAAGAAGACGTAGACATCAATTAAACTAAACATTACAGTTAGAGCTACGAATTCTGATTTAGTTAAAATAGTTACCTCGTTGAAGATATTTTTCATCGCTAGACTGACACAGTGTTCCAAGTTTGGTCTTCCCCAATTCGGATAACCATCGACATCAATGCACCTTCGAGACATATAACCTGAATAAGGAATCATTTGGAATTTATTTATTTGTTGAATACTATATATGCAAGATTTTATATTTCTGTCTCATAAGATTTGTCTCCAATCCTTTATTACCCTGCTGTAGCCTCGTAAGGTTGTTCTAAGCAATCAAATTTTTTTAAAATTATTTTTATCCTACGGTTAGTCGCCGCTAGTCATGCAAACGCAGACTGGTAAGTGTGACACTTTAAAAACAAAAAACAGTAAAAAAGAAAAAGAAAAAAAAACAAGCATGTCATAAACCCCCTTAAAAATACAAAATTAACAACACTTTTTAAAAAAATCTACACCCATATCAGGTTCACTTTTCTATATATCAGTGCTACTTGAACATTTAGTAACAGAATGCTGTGTTCAAATGTATACTGTAACTTACCCTCTGTTGAGTAGGGACGTTTAGTAACTGTTTCCAGGTGTAACGACGAAAAGTGACCCCTAGAATATTGACCGGGGATCATTTGTCTACATAGAAATTTTTTCCCCCTGGTCAATACTCTACGTAGGAAAATACCCACTTTTTTGTAGAAATTATGGCCTTAGAGTCATTTTTCTCCATGTGGATAGTATAAAAATGACGCTGTAGAATAATGATCCTGTGTCATTTTTTGACACAAGGAAAAAAATACTGCATGGTTTTGGTAGGAAAATTCTTGTTGGGCAAAAACACAGGGGTTAAATCACGCAGCCTTATGATATGAAGTGTTCATTTCCAAAAGCTTTAAAGTTTAAATGACAAAATTAAAAGGTTATACTATAGTTTACCTTAAAAATGCAAGATCTTTTATCCACATTAAAAGAAAGCCTAACAAGGCTATAATGATGTTCTATCACTATTAGAGCAAGAATACATGGTCGTACATTCTTTTATTTGTTTTATTACATTTAATAAATTAAAATAAGTTTCCACAGTTGTAACTTTTAAAAAAATCAAGATCATTTTCCGAGTCGGTGTAAGAAAAAGACACATATATATATATATAAAAAGAAATATCTTCCATAATTGTAATCCTCTTTGATTTTACTCTGGGAAAATAATGTGCAACAAATTAAAATATAGTCTTCCTTTTTTTTCTTTAGAAGTTATAAGAAAGGTTGACGTTTTGGAACCCTACCCAAATAAATTTGCGTGAAAAGAATGGAAGATTGATAAGAAAATTCGATCTCGTAAATATCTTTGATTTTCTATGAATAAAGTCTCAAACTTTTTCTCATAAAAATATAGGGAAGATTACATTTGTGAAAAATTAAAATAACACAGAACTAAATCAACATGCCTCTGACCTTCGATATCAGGGGTCACAAAAAGTGATTAGCTCAAAATCTTTACCAATGTCTTTTGTCGTTTGTTAGTGTCAACAAAGTCTTTAACAAAATGAGGCGTTTTACATAAAAAAATTGATTGCTTATAAAAAAAGAAGAAGATGTGTTTGGTATACCAAGAATTGACACAAGTTTCTACAAGGTAGTATCGTCTTTTCCCTTTCTAGTTACATGTAAAAAAAAATACCAATATAAAAAACGGAAATGTTGCATTATGAAAAAAAGCTTCTCAGTCTAATTTACATGATATTTTCCTGAGTATGATTGGCAATATTAGCACATTTGAAGTTGCATGTGCAAAAAATATAGAACTGTACAAAAATGTATTGTAACACATTGTGTTAGAATCAAGAACCATGCGAGATTCGTACAAGCTTATCTTTTAAAAAGATTGGTTAGCTAGCGCCGTAGCATAATAAAATACAGAAGATATCTGAACCATTTGTTAAATTTGCTGAATCGATTAATTATTAAGAGGGCTGGGTGGTCGTGGCCATTTTTAGACTATATTGATCTCCTTTAGAAGAAGAGCTCCATATAAAGATATACAAAAATGATCAAATTTTAAAACTAAAATGTATGAATTTTTTCTTTGCCAAATGATAGTTGACAGCTTAAGATATCATATCTAAAAAAATAAGTTATATCTGATGGTTAATTTGTTGACCCCCCAGCCTCCTTAAGGAGTTTAGGGGTGGGTGGGCACAATTCAAAATGGTGAATCTAAGAGTGTGCTTCACGTCGGCAATGGCATAACTCCTAACTGTGCTTTAAGCATTCTGTATTTTACTGTAATTTCAATTTCGAGGTGAAAAATAAAAGGTCAGTAGAACAATGAGCACCTTCTGCCCTTTCCGGCAAGCTCGGAAAACATATCCGAGGTTGCTGCGGTTTTCCGAGCTTGCCGGAAAGATCCATGAAGGTAGATTAGAAAAGCTATGTATTCATTACAACTTTAGAAATAACAGTCTTGGTTTTATAAGACCCGAGTTACTGTTACTTTTTGTTCATTTACGTGCAGGTTGGACAACAAAACACGAAACTTCAGATCATATGTATTCTCAGATGATAAACACTAAATTGACATGTCTTTCCGACATACTCTGAAAAAGATTTTTGTTGTTGTTGTTTTTTCCGAGCTTGCCGGAATTATCCACTAAGGTGGTAAAACTGTAAGGAAAGCTAGATGTCTAGAATCTTGGCATTATATGGCCAAATTTTTTCTTGTACTTTTATGTGTAGGTTAGACAATAAATTAAAAAAAAAATTCAGAATCCGGATCTAGACTGGTATTGACTGTCTCTAACCTACGAAATGTATATCGCGCATATCAGACAGGAAAGGCCAGTGTAAATTCGGATCATTTCTATTTTTGTATGACAAAACGAAATTGTTATCGCACAGTCTATCTACAGTAGTTTTCCCAGAATCCCCGACCGTGAAGTCGAGCATGCGTATTTCAGAAATATAGACTAACGTAGTTGCTAGCGCTCGAGAGCGCTAGCAATAAGCGTATCTATAGTGGCGAGTTTTGAAGGGGTTACGGGGTTGTAACCCACTCTTTAAATTTGCTACATGTAGTAGCCTATAGGAAAAAAAAATTCCCTTCTGGCCATGTACGTCTTTCCTATAAACAAATTAAGCGTTCTTGCTGTCTGAAACGAGGTTTAAAAATAGGATAAAAGTGAAGAAATCTTTTCTTTTCACCGAAAATCCTCTTATAAGGATTTTATTTACATAATGCATATGTGCATTGTAAGGCAGGCTGTTTTAAAGATTTACAAAGAGACAGGTACATTAGTAGTGAAAATCGGCCCTTCGTTGAAAATTTAAAATTATGATAAAGGAATGACTTGAGGATTTACACTTTATAAATATATTAACAATTTTTATCTATCTTTTATAGTTTAGTTGCAATAGCCCTCTAAAAATGGAAGTATTTTATTGCATTTAACCGCTTTGAGCACTATGACGTCATAATTGCCGTCAATTTAGAACATTTAAATAACAACTTTAATGTATCAATGTATGTTATACGTAAAGATCTTATATTAAAATGTTTACATTGCACTGTTTAATTACTTCAAAGAAAATATTGCACAAAAAAGAACGTTTTAAAGAATAAATGACCTCCATAGTGTCGGTATATCTGAATATCATAACTGCAGTCAAAATTCCATGCATAATGTGCAGTCTGTTTTTCTCCAAAAATAAATTATTTTTTTTAAGAATGTTTAAAAAATAGAGAGAGGATGCAAAAAGATCTTAAAATGAAATTTGATTAACAAACAAGAAGAGTAAACGAGGAAATATAACTTACTTTAGCATTAATTTTGACCTATTTGCACTTAAGTTCAAATTATAATATTATAATGCCGAAAATCGCCCTTTTGGAGATTAACCAATACAATTTAAAACAATATTTAATTATTCATTCAAAAGAGAACAATGGGCAGCAAAATAATAAGGAATTATATCAACAGGATTAAATGATAACTCAGGCACGAAGTATCGGGGGGGGGGGGGGGCTGCTGTCCCTTTTATTCAAACATTACCTTTTATATCGAAAATGTCCATTGAAGGGCTAGATGTAGTTCCTCCCCTCCCCAACTTTTTCCCCGCATTTCAAAACCGATACTACGAGCCTTCAACTTAAGAAATATCTACTAAAGTTCATTGACTTCAGAATCCGGAAATTCTGCATTACTGCAAGGTTTTGTTTAATTCTAGATCGCTATTCCGCTGAGAAAGGGAGGAAAGGGGGTGAAAGTGAGCTATACTGGTATAACAAATATAAAAAAAAAAATCAAACTTGACACCAAGGTTCCTTGTGTGCTGTACGTCAAAGTTAACTTTTTTTAATTTGTCAAAACTTATAGATACGGTATAGACTGGATCGAAATTACACATCTTTAAGTCAGAGTCAGGCTCTAGGTGACATGCCTTCATCATTTCCATCAGCATTTTCTTCTAGTTTACGATAGCCTTGCAAATTGATCTTTGAATTTAGACCACTGACAAAGGTGTCAACTACCTAAGAATAATTTAAAATCTTCTTTCTAACTTACCAACAAGGAACTTGTAAAGCCATACAAAACAGCTGATGTAAATTCAAATAATAGTAGACAAAGTGATAAGATTTAATTTCATTTGTCTAAGGGGGAATTTCAGGCAAAACTTTTCTTCCAAAACTTTGTGAAATATGGGATGAATTGCTTTGTCAAATGAGCTAGAAATATTTCGATTATTCCCAGTAATTTTAACAATCATTAATTATGTCTCTATTTTAACATTCATTTATTATGTCTCTGACGTCGTTTTTGTCATATCAACACATTAATTTATGATTGGACGCTGTTCCGTTTTCATGGTCATTACTTGTGATTTTTCTAAATATATACACCATCCCTCCAATAATCGATATTAAAGATATCAGAAAATGAAGACGGTCGACTCATCTCATACACGACATATTAAATTTTTATTAAGCTTTGACTTGGTTTATACATGATAAGTATATATTTTCAACCTTCATAAAAAAGGTTGTAACATTTCAACCCTGGGCCATACGCACTATCTGCGACCTTAAAGATGGCGATTTTTTATTTTATTTATTTATTTATTTTTTACAAAAAAGTAATTACATTGGGTTGCCTTAAGTTGGATGAAAAGTAAAGCGATGAGGTTACTAGTGTCTCGAAACGCGGAGATATTCAAAATGACCGTAAGCATAAGGTAAAAAAAAATATGACTTTTAATAACGCATCAACCAGGGTCATGTTGAATTCATTCCTCTCCTGGTTTCAGCTTTAGAACCTGACTGTTGATCATCTGAGGACAAACAACAACAAGAAATTAAAATCTGAAAATAGTTCAACTTCCCGATTTCCTAGATTTTAAGTATGATATATAAGCTTATAAATAGCCTCAGTGGGACCCACCCACCCCCACCCCTTTAAACACATACATATTATTATACCTCATCATAATTATTCTATAAAACGCGTTATCTGATTGGTTCTAAGTTGTCACGTAACAGAGCCATAAAACTTCATATTTCCCTGTCGTCGTCATGCTTTTCATCATACTTAACCTCCTAGGAGACCACTTGCATTTTCTCGCAATACTTATAAATCGTTCGTTAGAAAAATGAAATTTATAAAATAAGAAGAAAAAAATTCAGTATCTTAGAATTTCATAAAATTATATGAAGCTGTCGCATTCAGAGGTTTTCATTACAATGAGTTTCATTTTTAGTCAAACATTATTTTCATGCGCCCCCCCTCAACAATTTGCATAGTTATTAAATGTATATGGTAAAGCAACTAGAAGTGACTTGGACCCCCCCCCCCCCCCCGGAAAACGCGGACCCCTGTTAAGTTGGTAGGAAAAGTTATACATACAAAGTTTTAGAAGTGAAACGGAGCGGCAACCCTCCCCCTTTTTTTGTTTTGTTTTGCTTATTAAGAAAATTCTGGGTTAGATTCTTTTATTTTTAATTGACTAGGGTGGAATTCCCCAACCCGACCCCCACCCCTTTGGAAAAAAATCCAGGATCCGCGCCTGATTTTATTTATTCTCATCTTCACTTTTCTGAAGGAAAACTTAATAATAGATTTATGTAATCCCCCACCCACTTTCTTTCTCCCCCTTGAATTTTACCGCATTGTTTCACCGTTTTTAGGGACATAAATAACATATACTTACACCTCTACTGTTAGTCTCAAAATTAACATTTCAATTTATTTTTTGAGAAGACATAAAATAAAACATATTCAATGGTATATGTATTCTTTTTCGTTTCTAGGCGATGGTATATGAATTTAATTTATTAAAGGATTATCATACTGAAAATATACTAAGTATAACTATGTACTAATTGAGCTTTTGGAGAAAGGGTGGTAAATGCTATATTATTAAAATAATTCATCATGTAAACTTTCCAGCATTTTTACAGATAAATAAAAAAAAGTCATTGAGATTTATTATATCTAAAATGAATCATCTGACTACAGTTTTCTCTTTTTCTCTGGAGAAATTCTCAATTTTTTTTTTAACAAAATGTTTGATAAATCAACGTATTGTTTACAGTAAAATATTGAAAAAGACTGAAATATGGGAAAAAACTTTTGGCACGTCACTGTACGTTATCAATGTAAACAATGAGAGCGTCTATATTTAGAGTTCGATGTATAACCTGGAGACGCGACGTTAGGGTTTTGCCTTAAAATTAACATAAGATACCTTTTAATAAATTTATCAATCCCAATGACATCTCAATTACATGTATACCTTTTTACAACACACCTGAAATTTAGACGTTATATGTGCGTGTACATTTGCCTGTGTTTTGTTAGTCCCGAATTTGCCTGGAATGAGAATGAAAGTGTGGTTGTGGATACGAACTTTTATCAACTGAGTTATTGAAATAATGCATTTATCGTTTAGATTCCTACAAAATAAACATGTCTTCAATTGATATTTATTTTCTAAGAATATAATCAAAATACCAAGCTAATATTCCATTCCCCTCACGTCAAGATCCGTAAAGCAGACGACTGATAATATCAGAATTTTTAAAAATTCAATGTGGCCACAGCCCACGGCCAGAACGAAACCTGTATAAATCAATCCCTTTCATGTTATAGTATTTCTAGTTAAAATATCTTTGTGGCCGATGCATGTGGCCACATCGAATTTTCCCAAAAACTGAGTGAATAATGAAGAAAATTGCTTGTTTTCCGGATACGGCATAGGTTTGGATACTACATAGCAGCATAAGAAGCTTGGATCCGCCCAAATGTTTACATATACAAGGACTTAGGTTCATAAACTTTATAAATATACATGGTTAGTGAGGATACGCAAACTTTATTTTTCAAGTATTTTGCAGGGCCTGTTGACGTTAGCTAACGAGCCTTGCTCTTTTATCTCTTTAACGTTACGTGACTTGAGGAGAGCGGTATGCGCGACAGAGGCAACGTTGTAGCAATTTTTGAGCACACATTTTGAATGGCTCTCTTTTTTATTGAATGGAATGATTGTAATTTTCCCAGAAGGGCTAAGGCCTGTTATAAGGTTAACATTTACTCAAATTACACTGATGGGCCAACGGTAAATCTTATAATACTACCCATTCAAAAGCTACGGTTAGTAGAGTAGAACCATGCAAGAAGTAAAGGTTACATGTAGGTTTTATTAACAGTACGCATTTGAATAAAGCAGCAAACGAACATTCATATGCAATGAGAAAATATGACATACCAGGTAATGCGTAGAACAACGAGGGAGTCATTATGCAAATGCATTTTGGCTAACATTCAACGCAACGACACGATATCTGAACTGGACAAAAATTATAAAAATATAAGTAAACCGAATGCATGCAAGGGAAACGGATAGTGAATGTCAAACCCATATCACATACTTGATCAAATAAAGAATAATTTATAGACCTCCTCTCAGCATGTGGATGATTTAGATACTTTTCATAACCGTACAACAAATGATAAGTAATGTCCAACTGGGATTTCAAGCTGACATATCATCTTCCTTGCATATAAAATTCTTCTTCATTAAATACGCAAACAAACAACGCAATGATCTTATTGGGAACTGAGAAGCAGTATTTTCTGCTGTGTGAAGTTATCGCCCGTATAATTTTAAATTGCATTCATTTTTTGCATAAATAAACTTTTCTGCTAAATTCTTTTTAAAGTAAAAAGATCAAGAATAAACATTTTATAATTTATTTTAAAATAACGATTAAAATTTTCTCCATTATTTCTTCATTATTTTTTATTTATTTATTTTATTGTAAAAAACTGTGAAACATGTATGTTTCAGGCATATATGTAATTTATTTTAAAGGATTAAGTGTTACTGAGACAGACGAACAAGAAATAAATAAAGAGAGAAGGAGGGAGAGAGAGAGAGAGAGGCTGGTAAGAGAGAGGGTAGAGAAAGAGAGTTGGACGAAAGACAGAGAGCGATTGGGGAGAGAGTGAGGAGGGGGAGAGAGAGTGGAGAGAGAGCGAGTGGGGAGGGAGGGGGTGATAGAGGGAAAGGGTGGAGAGAGTGAGGTGATAGAGAGGAAGGGTGGAGAGAAAGAAAGTGGGGAGAAAAAGAGAGTAAGTGGGGAGGAGAGTGTGAGTGAATGCGTGGGTGTAGAGAGGGTGAGGAGGGGAGAGAGTGAGTAGTGTTACAATTTCATATTAAAAATTATGTCAGTAGTTTTTGCATATACAACTGAGCTGTGTTTTTTGCATTTTTGATGTTGTAAATTTAGCTTTTCTGGTATGGGTACTTAAAAATTTACTCTTATTTTGACCCTATTGATATCATACTTGTATATTTCTTCTACTTGTATAAAACAAGATATTTTAACTTGAATGTGCTGCAAAAAAATCATACCGCAAACATTGTATATGATGATAGTATTAGGAAGTAGCTTCATTTAAAGGAGGGAGAATATACTTTGCTCCCAACATACATTTGAGAGTATACAAAATATCGGGAGACGCAGTTATCTCTGGGCCTTCGCCGACCATCCCCCAACCATTGAATGAAAGCCTATCTCATTTCTAAAGGTTTTATAGTAAAATTTGTCTAATCCGGACACTACTGATTCCATAGAAAATGGCCGGATTAGACAACATTTAAAACAAATGAATTTACTGAAATGGACTTAAAGTTAACATCGTAACAAGCAAGATTTCGGATTATACATCCGGATTAGACAAGTTTTACTTGTATTATATAATATAGATAAAAAGTAGGGGATCAGAGTTCTATGGGGGTCATTTTTCAACGTGTGTGGAGTTGTAGAATTACCAGCCTGGAAGGGTTTTCTACGGTGGAAAAATGACCCTACTTGCTGTAGAATATTGACCGCGGGTCACTTTTTCACGTAGAAATTTGACCCTTCGGTCAATATTCTGCGGGGGTCACTTTTCGTCGTTACGCCGGCACATGAATGCTGTGTTCCAGTGTATACTGTAACTTACCCTCTGTCGAGTAGGGACATTTAGTAAATGTTTCCCGGCACATGAATGCTGTGTTCCAGTGTTTATAACCGTAACTGTAACTTACCCTCTGTTGAGTGGGGCATTTAGTAACTGTTTCCCGGCACATGAATGCTGTGTTCCAGTGTTTATAACTGTAACTGTAACTTACCCTCTGTTGAGTAGGGGCATTTAGTAACTGTTTCCCGACATATGAATGCTGTGTTCCAGTGTATACTGTACTCATCCATTACAGTTTTCTCTTCAGCACAGAACTTCCCAACTTCAAATAAAAATCCCAGTCTGATCGTTTATGATTCAATTTTTTTTCTTATATTTAGACAACACATATTAGCATTTTGCAATTTCAATTTCACAACATGGTAAGTCAAACTGATTCCATAAGCTCAAATACTTCTGTCATACACAGTTGTTATATTTAATTTTATAGGAATTTTAGAACAGGGGTGTGATTGGTTATAAGCCAAGGCTTGTATGATTTTTAAATTTCCAGTTAAGATTATGAATTGAAATCATCAAACTTTCATCTTACTTTTAATTAACTCAAACTCAAAATGTTAACATATTTCGTAGATCTTGTACAGATCATACCAAGACCTAAAACAAATCTGCAAAAAGCTCTCTCTATAGCTATTTATAGGTTTGGGTTCACTAACCTTCATATTTTAGACTGAAGTTAGAGTCTTTAATAAATGCAGTATCAACTTGAAACTGAATCAACAATGAATTGCTTGATGATAGAGATGTGGTCATATTCCTGCGAATGTCCTCAAACTGCCCAGGTGCAATACAGAATGTTCCATTTTGCCCCATAAGGCCTAGAACCTAATTTAAAAAACCGATGTTAAATTGCAAGCCTTTTTTCTCTTTTTGCAATATATTGCTAAACTAAGTTGTTTCATTTGATTGATTTTTTTTAAAAGGACTAATTTTTTTTACTATATTTATTTGAGAGTACTGGTTTTTGAACGATAATATTCCTCTCAAGGAAAAAAGAAATTTTACAGTGTAAACATAATTATTAGATCTTTCTTTGTATACTGTTGAAGATAAACATTTGGGTAATTTGTTTGATTCCACCGAGGAAAACTTAGTATTAATTTTTCTTTCGAAATTCATCAGTCATATGCTACATAGCTTGTTATATGCTATGGGGGAATAATAAAGATATGCATGTACTTTCTCATCTTTCACTACGCTTTCCAAACTTAAGATAAAAATTTATTTAAAGAAAAATATTATAATTTTTGTAATACGAAATAAATAGCCAATGAAATGCATTTTATTTTTGATTGCAAGTGTGTGTAAAACTTTTTCATGTCTAACAAAACAAAATAATTAGACATAAGTACTAGATTGTAGATTCAGTGATACTCAAAATATTTTTAAATTCAGTGAATTCATGCCAACTACTGAATTGAAAACAATGGAAAAAAAATTGTTTCTTTATACTTTGATGACTAACAATTGAAGTATTTAATTGTACATACATGTACATATACGTTGTACAGGTAGCTCAAAATAAATATGTGTTATTTAAGGAATGTTTTTAACTTTTGTGCGAGTTATTGGTGTGTAAATCACACAGACTTGTCACGTAGGCATATTTCATGAAGCGCGCTGGCGCTTCATGAAAAATATGCCTACTTGCAAGTCTTTGTGATTTACACACCAATAATTCACACTAAACTTAAAAAACATTTCTTATATTTACATTTTACATGTTTAATTTTACATGTTTAAAAGCACCAAAAATATACTCGGTGTTTGAATAATTCACTGCCATATTTCGTTACTTTTGTAGCCTCAATGTGACGTCACTTTAGCGCGAGTTTCTCCTTGCGTATTTCTACGCGTGAGTATGCACGAAAATGGCATTCAAATCAATTTCACAGTTGGCTTAGTAGAAAAACACAGCAAATGTAAATACATGTATTAATAAATGTTAATTTTTGTCTTGGTGGTGAATATCAAACCATATTCACCGCCAATAGAGTCCATAATTGTATAGTATTTACCTGTGTTTCAAAGTTTGTTTTGGTGTTACCGTATAATATCGATATTTGATATAAGTAAGTTGTACTTAATTTTGTACTTGGTATTGACACACGTATATATTGTCTTTTTCCTTGTCATCTTGATTTAATAAACTCGAACTGGGGATTACAGTCATTGACAGCCTACTGTATACCTGACATAGCAGTAGGTAGCATTTATATCTTTCTACACCTTTAGTGTAAATATTTTACACAGTGATATTATTTTTTTTTAATTTTCAAATCAGTTGTATTTTTATCATTTCAAGTTTTATAATTTAATGAAAAGTTTAAACACTGAATTTCAATGAAGTTTTATTTTTAATGATAAAAACCTTTTCAAATTTCAAATTTGTATTGTTGTTTGTTGCTTAATATCTTGGTTGAACCATAAAATCAGAGAAAACCTTAGTGTGAAGGAATATGGGCATAATTTATTATCGGTCTGACTGCCCTTCTTTATTTATCTAAATATACTAGCAATGTTTGTACATATTTTTCTCGATTTTTTAATAAATACAGTACCTCTTTCTACATATTCATTTATTTAATTTTTTGTAACTCGTTTGCCATTATATAAATAGAGTTAGAATAAATTGAACTTGAACTAGTAATTTAAAAACAGAGATAAATTGTTTTTATACCAAATGATGACTAAGTAAGGCGAAACATTTCTAAAACATGTAAATGTTGCTGGGATCTCTCAATATGTGCCCAGACTGCACTCAAATTAAGCAGACTAATTAGGTCCCGAGTTCAAAAAGGAATGAAAGTAAATATAACTATAGAGAGAAGACGAACGTTATAATCGGCATCAAGACACCTTTTGAAGACAATCAATGAAGAATTGCTATCAAAAAAGGGAAATGACCGAAATGGCTGACCTTTAAATTGCTTTTCCGCGACTCACAAGATATATCTGCTGTTGGATTCAGGTTGTAAGGCCAACCTTTGAAGTATGTTACATTTATCAAAGTGTTTTTTGGACTTTTGATGTTCCACTGATGGTGTTGGATCCCGCTTTCTGAATAACTTCTGTAATCCACTGTTATATATTTATCACTAACATTCTGAGTAAAGTCTGTGGCGTTGAAATGAATTTCATAGAAAGGAGTATTTTGCAGACTATCGTTGTTGCACAAATCTGTAATTAAATGTTTCAACATTCAAATAGCTATGGATTAAAGTATATCATGTGTTAACGTAAAATTCTAGGATGATTTTTTTTTCTAAATCAATGTGTCATATTGTTGGTACCGCCAATGTATTGTAAAACATGAATAAACACAATATAGAAATGAACTTTAATTCCTTATGATAAATTAGTACAAAACAAAAGATTGAACATCTGCAAAATAATGCTCTTTCGTTTTTTTTAGATAAAAAGATTAATCAGACATTATAATATTTAAAATAGCTTTATTTCAGAATTAATATTACAATTAAAGCTTTCTCCCTTCTTTACTTACAGCAAAAAAAGCATGGTAAGAGAATGAGTATGATATATCTCGTGGGCGTGGCAAACATATTGGATATAATCTGAAATATACATAATACCTACATGTATAATAAAATATAGTCATAAGTACATGTATATATAGTCATAAGAAGTAGTAAAAATACCCATATATTAGAAGTTCTTCGAAAAATGGGGAGTTGGAACACATAAAAAAAATGAAAGGAAACTAAAAAAATGATAAAAATTATTTAATAATAAATCGTATTATGTGAAAAAAATGTTTTTTTGATTTTTTTCTGTGAATAATACATATTGCATCATCAATACTCTGCCAATGAGATTTTATTTTTAAAAAAGAATTGAGCGTTATTTTGTTAGAGAATTTAACAAGTCATGGAGTGTGTGTCACTCTAACTCAAATATATTATGGTGTGACTTTAACATCGTTCTTCAATATCTAAGCTTCAATGGCAGTAGGGCAAACTACGATCGAAATTGCATGCAAACACACTTTTATCGCAAAAACCTATCATTACGTTGGTTAGTGTCAAAACAAAACGACAAAACAGAGCCTTAAAGATGGCCAACTAATTGCACATAATCATCTTCTGAAAAATGAAAGTGTTTAAGAAGTCTCCATGACTATCTCGTTTCGTCAGCTCCAGATCATCTCGGATCTTTAAACATTTGGTCAACACTGGTATTTCCGATTATTTATGTAATGAAGTCCGCTTGACAAACAACCCTTATTTACACTTGCAAGTGACACTCCGTAAACACAGAGACATTCCGAAACATTAGCTCCCGTCTTTACTGTTTAAGTGCCTTTCACTAACTGTATCCTTCTTTGCTCACATATCTGATACATGTAGTCTTACTATGTCAAGACTTTGATATTTTTATTTTACATCCCATTGTCACTCCTTTGATTAGCTTTGGTGCCAACTATACCTAAACTGTACTTTTATCCTCATGTTCAAGTACAGAACATAAATTTGCTGTTGTATATAACTGTGTTACTCTACAGCACTTAAAAATTTTAATTTTAAAAATGCAGTATTATCGAAATACATATGGAAGTACAGTTCCCAATTTACATTATTAAATATTTCTTTTAAAGTGAAGACAAATAAAAATAATGCTTAAAATTCTTACGTTGAGAATCAGTGATGGTCAGTGATAAGAAATAAAGATAAATAAAATAATTTGACCCAATATATAGCATGGTTGGGAAAGACAGTGATTATTTTTGAGGTATCAATTAAAATATGCACAGGTATTTAAGTCAACTACATGTATGCCAAAAACAATTTCAACTTTTCAACAATTTCCAATTAAACAACCTAGATATGAATGGGAAGAAGTTTAATTGATAGACCATGACCCAACTTCATCCCCACTACACCCTGAATGGAAATACATGTACTTCTAATCAGGTTAGGGTTAGATTCCGTGTGCCAAAAACTTCGTCAATACGCTGAAATCGACTGGAAAGTTAAAAATACAATCATCTCCAAAATAAAGGACATATATTTCCTTAAAATCTAATCGCGAAACAGAACCGTGTGTTACATCAAATATTTCAAAACAAGAAATTTCAGCCCTGGCATAGCTTAGATGTGGCGTTCTTCCTATTCGTTTAGGATCTGGTCGTTATAAAATTGAACCTTTAAGTGAAAGGACGTATGTTTTCTGTTCAAGTTCGTCTGTCGAAGATGAAAAACACTTCTTATTAGATTGTCAAATTTATGATAATATAAGGAAAAAATATTTTGATAGATTATATAATGATCACCCAAATAGTAATGATACTGATTATTTATTCAAAGTTTTAAATCAAAATTACCAGACAAAGTTAGCCAAATTTGTACATACAGCCTTTAACCAAAGAAAAAATCGTCTGCATGTGTAAATTTATATTTAATGAAAAGTGACTTACAGGTCTAATGGGCCGGGTGCAGTTTATTTTGTTCACTGTGTAAATTACAATGTTTATAATGCACAATGTCACTCTAATAAATGATTACTTACATGTACTTACTTACGATAATCAAGAGTAGATTGGTGCTGTTTCAAAACAAATCTGGGCACGAAAAGAAGTGAAAAGCCTTCCCATTAACCTTAGACCAGAGTTGGTAATGTACAATGATCTTCAAGTAGTTTAGATTTAAGGTTTGTAAAAATCATTGTTTGGACCCAAGATGAGCCACCTAGGGGGTCGGATTTACAAAGGTTTATACATTTAGGATCTTCTCAAAAACAACGTGGTCATGAAAATGAATAAAACTAATATGCAACCATTCCCATGTGTGTAAATAACTTTGTAGATATCATGCATGGGAAATATTATATTTTTATTTAAAAGATTCCCTAAAACGTCGATAATATTTGCATATAATAATGTATAAAGGAGAAAACGATAATCAGATGGGTTTTATGTACGCTAATATTAAACTTCTCTCTCGAATGATTTCATTGGTATTAAACAGTAGAGAATTTAGGGGACATACGGCCTTCCATATTTCACCTCGATTTTTTTCCCTGGAAATTTTTTTTTTAAATTTTTTTTTTACAAAATGGTTAGGGGATTTTAAAAAAAAAAGATCATTAAAACAGAGAAACCCCGCATTTTTAATTCAAGCCGTTGTGACTATTTCTTGTCAAACTTTTTTTTCGCTGCTTCTTACTCAAATTTATGGGTCCATCCCATTTTATCGTACATGCTTGATGGTATTGGAAAATGTCTTACCTTTTGCTCTTTATGCAACTTCAGGTCATCATCAGTTTTGTCGCAGGGCAAGATTTACACTTCGAAATGTTGCAGTAGTTTTTAATATCTATAAAATGTAAATATATTGGTTTGTTTATTTACTTTCCAAAGTATCACTTTTAATCGAAACAAATCATTTGTTTGGCAATAATTAAAGTTAAAGTTCATATTCATATTTGTATGAGTATATTAATACTTATCCCTTATAAATGATCGAGTATTTGTGTAAAACACTTTGATGAGCAAATAAACTTGCATGCTGACGAACTAGTAGTTATTTCGTGTCGACATATATAAGATATATATTAGCATAATTAAATGTATCTGATATTTTGTTATACATGTACATGTAAGACAAAAAAAATTACGGGGACGTTGACCCTTGTTTGTTGAAATAACTATTGTTACTCTGTCAACATAACTAAGTTACATGTATATATGTCGACACAACTAGTTATGTGCCGATATTAATAAGTAGATTTAACCTAAATATATAATTGATTTTTAAAGTGTAAAGAAAGTTAAACAATTATCTTGCGGGTAATACTAAATAAATTACATCTTGCAAGTTCAATGTAAGATTTCACTACTGGCCACTCTTTGTTTTTGTTTTTTTGTTTTGTTTTTTTTTTTTGGGGGGGGGGGTATTTTATATGAATGTTAAATGTATTTTGGTTTTTTTTTCTTTTTTAAACTTTTTATTTTAAAATAATATGTATATATTTAATTTAAAAATGTCACTCTTGCTATATCAATTATATTCCTTTTCATAATACCCTGTACGTGAATGTACATGTATTGTCTTGGGAGCTACAAAACGATGTTTGTACAAATTTTCCTTGTTCTTGCTGCATACGATTTTTATCTAGCGTGTGCGAAATGACATTTTTAGCATGCACATTTTCAGAATGGTTTAGACATACACATGTATGCATTTTTCAGTATGGTTCCCATTAGAAAGGATAATATTATTTGAAATTCTGTATCAATCGTTTTTGTTACTCACCTCTATAAATACAATAATTAGATCATATCAAATCAAATGAAAGAATTCATGCTCAAAACTATTCATCAAACATGATCATAATTTTTCATTAAAATTAATTCGGAGAGTTTCCTTAATAATTCAAATGTAATAAGTGTTCTCATAAAAACACAAACGTGAAGATATCGAAAGACGACCGATCGCATGATTAATTAATTATCTTGATAAAAGTTAACTTTTTAAACTTTTGATTAAGAATAGAGAGGTCTCCAATAAAAGACAAATGTTAGTTTTCTCCTAACTGCAGCTCTATATTTTTTTAAGCATAAAACATATTTATTGATGAGAGAGAGAGTTAACTTCATTAACATTCTAATAGCAACTCATTTTACTTTGTTTAAATATAATGGACAAAATTCGCAAAATTATTTAAATATTTTTAAACCGGGTGTGATGCAAAATCACCGAAATTAAGAGAAAAATTACACATGCATCACTGCTATTTCTTAGTAAGAGTTTATTTTATGAACTATTTATCACAAAAAAATGAACTGAACTGAATTTTTCGATTGACAAATATCAAATCATAATGTAATTTTCAGTCACTAAAAGGATTCATCTTTAAGGAAAAAAAGTTTGAAATAATCATACCGAAATTAATGTTCCCACGTTTGCTTTAAAAATCAGTAATCACTTTTTCTTTTGATTCATAAATACCTATCTGTCCTCAAATTAACCCAGTATTTTTACTTACATGATTTTTGTCGGTTAAATCTCCGTTAGGCTGAGGAAAATACCAGTGTACAATGAATTCCGTTATCTTGTCCTGCGTCTTGAGTTTATCGTCTGCCTCTTTGATCTAAGTCAACAGAGCGCTTCCGTAAACGATGTTTGGCCAGAAACTCCCTTTGGTATCAGCTATGTTTAAAACATTACTGACTTCGTTGAATCATAATCATCAGATTTCAAAAACTGTCATTTAGTACGTGCCCTAAAACAGGTTCTGAACTAGTATTCATATGAAGTTAATTAGGCATATATTTTTAATTGAGCAGTTTAATTATTTTATCTCAAAATGAAATGTATACGGCAAGAACATCTAATTAAAACTAATGCACAATGTAATATTGCTTGACCCATATGGGTGTATTATGCAATAAAGAATAATAAAAAATTTCGGCAGGAAAAATAAGAGTTCACCAACATTTTGTTTCTTTTGTTTTAAAACGAACATTAATTATTGATTCCATGGGATGCTTTTCTTTGGAAAGGGGGGGGGGGGGGGGTCTACGAAAGGTAGACACATCTTTTTT